GGCGGGGGTGGCGGCGCGGGGTGGGGGTGTGTAGTGAATTGATTCATGTCAAGGATCAGATGCGTTCTGGCTAAACGGATTATGGTTGGAGATGGGCGAGCGGCTTGTGGTGCACTGGTGCCCAGCGCGCGCGTCGGCAGTCGAATACCCGGCCGAACCAATCTCGACACAAAACACCAGCTGCTGTTACTTGTAAAGTTTAAACGATAGAAATCGCGGCATTTGCAAAGGATTCCTTTTTTGTTTGTTTTGCCAGGTCGATGGAATCGTGCCAGTGTTCACCCTCGTCTTTTACTAGCACCCATCAGATCGTTCGTTTCAGAAGTAAGCGACAGGAAAAACCCTATACCTTTGTTTATTGGAAGTAAGCTAACGTAGTGGAGTATAGAAAAAGCCTCCGTAGTTATTTCGGCTAATACCGGAAAAAAGTACTAATCATTCGCAACATTTAGGGGCATGGGGTGCCAGGTAAATTTTCAGTGTCTGCCTTTGGCAGATTAAATGCTTCTATAAAGACAGTAAACCCTTCAGCACTTTCGATTTACGAGTGAAGAGATCAGACAAAATCAGACGTTTGACTTCCTCGAAGATTTTGGAACGTGATAAATAAGGTTTTTTTCCTCTCGGCCAACACTGAGTGTTTAATTAGGTCAAACAAGTGTCCAACCCTTCAACACTTTACAGTGCGTGCTCTTTTAGTAAAGCAACTTCATGGTTTAACCCATTTTTGTTCGTGTTGGAGGTTGTTTTGCTCACTTCATTTGTCAGCAGTGTAGGTGCGCACAGACAGGCGCTGACTGGACGTAAAGTGCGCGTGTGAGAGTGTAGAGGGAGAGAAAGAGAGAGAGAGAGAGAGAGAGAGAGAGAGAGAGAGAGAGAGAGAGGAGGGGGCTGGGGCAAGGCTGAGCCGAGGATCAATTTAGCCGGGACAAACGCAATCCGTCGTCGTCCGCGAGGCGAGCTGCCTCATGACCAAATGATTACGCGGCGCCCTTGACCATGCGCCTCGCCCCGCCCCGCCCCGCCCCGCCCCGCCACTGCCGAGGCAGCCGCCCTCTCCCCGAGGTGGAGATCAGGCTGCCGATGGTGTGGTGCGGTGCTATGCCGCGTACGTCCCATGGGATCGATTTCACGGAGCGAAGGATAAACTGAATGGCGTTATTTTCACAAAGCGGCCCGCAGGGCTCGAGCGCGTGGTGGGGCGTGGCGGGGCGTGGCGGGGCGTGGCGGGGCGTG